TACCCAATGAAGATGATGATGACAATGAAGGTCCGCAAGCTTCTAGCTCAAATACTCAATACATACAAAAAGAAGTGAATGTAATCGACGAGACTGGTAATTTGGTGTCTGTGGTTACTGAACATCATGTACATAAAAATAAAGGTAAAATTTAGGTATCCAGGTCAGAGCTGCAATAATAGTTGTTATAAAAAAAAAGCGTTTTATTTTGGTACTTTTAATGTTGAACAATAATAAATTAAAATTTTATTTAGGGTGAAAAACAAAATTTTAAATAGGCTATTGAATTAAAAGGTTTAAATTAAATAAAACTTCCCAAAGAGGGTTTTCAAGTTCAAAGGTCCAAGTGTTAACATAATGTTTTAGTGCATGTGTGTTGTACATTATAGCAGTACTTGTCATGTAAAATTAAATTAATTAAATTCCTCAGAAAGCAGGACATCCTGGTTGAATCTGAGATCAAATCATCAGATAATGCTGAAATACAGAAACAATCTGCTGATGAAGATGACATAGCAATTGAAGAAGTTTTGACCCCGCTACGAATAAAACAAGAATCGGCCGCTAATCGTGCTCATATGATGAAACGAAAACGAGGCTTACAAAAGTATCGTACAGACTGGGAAAAATTGTCGGAATTCAGAGGCTGGTTGTCGCCTGAACCAAAGAGCTGCTATAAAGCTCGATGTGAAGCTTGTGACAAAAGTTTAGTTGCTGATATCACAGTCTTACGAAATCATTCACAGGCTAAAAAACATGTGATGAAAACTGGGGGCACAGTTTACGAAGGTCCAATTGTTAGAAACAAATCAAAAGCTAAGACAGATGATGACGATGAAGATTCGCCTGATGAGTTACAAATGAAATCTTTGAGCATTAAAGGTTTGGATATTGGGTATTTTTTGTATGTCTCCTTGAGTTTATAGCTTTTAATTTTTTTAATTAAAATTTTAATTGATAATGATTTAATAATCTAATAATTATGGTTATATATTAATAATTTTATGAAGTAAATTCCTCAAGCTATAAACTCTGTTATCATACATTTTCTATTAATTAAAAATAACAATTGAAGATCATCAATCATTGTATTAAAACGATTTAGATTTTGTTTTGTTATTATTAAGTAATTATAATTTTTTATATCAGTGTTAGTTTTGGGTCTTCAGTTGTGAACAAACGTGTTTTGACCTATTTATTTATAATTGGTCAGAGCTTACGCGCTTAATGTTGTATTTTATAGCAAATATATTTTGTATATTAGGCAAATAATAAATCCAAAGATTAGTTTGAGACCGTATGTTTGAAGGACAGTTTTAATCAACAAGCCCTGAAAAAGTTGGTCAGAGCTTTTATTACCGTGTACATTTATTTTTATATTATAAAACAATTATTTATTATGTTAATACTTGTGACCTTGATAAACTATTTGTTATAACTTATAAACAATCTATAAAATAAAATTATTCATGTTTAATTCATATATTTTTAAGTGGCATAAATATATTTGAAGTAATTTTAAGAGAAATTTCTTTTTAAATTTATATATATATAATGTATATATATAAATAGTATATGCATATAATCGTATATATCATCGAAAAATTGCAGCTCTGACCGATTTTAATAAATGGTTGTTTTATTTAAACATCTGTTTGCCAAATCATAATATCATTACATTATAATTTTTTATTCAATAGACAATGATGACGATTATGAAGTGGGTCTTCAATCAAATGACTATCATAGCACATCTAATTATGAAAAAATGGATCAAAAACATGATGAAATTCAATGCAAAGCTATTGGTAGGTTAAATTAGAAACTAAAACAAATTTAAAGAGCCAAAACTATGTTATTTTTTATTTCAGTTTCCAAACCCGCTCCATTTTGGAAAGCCACAGCTGTTGTTAATGGTCATGTGACAGAGTTAAAATTAAGTGACTACAGTGGACGTTATTTAGTCCTATTTTTTTATCCTCAAGATTTGTAAGTTGTATTCAATATTACAATTTATTTAGTTTTAAGTTAAATAAGTTGGTGAAATAATATTATATATATGATGAGTTATTCGCTGTGTATTTAGTGTATTCAGTATTCATAATTTTGCCAAAAGTTTAAGGAAAATAATATGTTTGGATGAATTAGTTGTCAGTTTGAATTGAGTGTTCATTTTATAAATAACCCAATGAATAAAAATTATAAAATGTTATGTTAATACTGGTTATTTATAGCAAATTTGTAAAAAATAAGAGATTAAAATACTGGTTATAATAAGTTGGTATGTTAAGAATACAATTATCATTCTTAAGAGGATGCCAGCTCGCTATTTGTTTTCTCTTTCAAACTTACTTCCAACATAGCAAATTTATGTACAGCAGAACCAACCCTGTGTTGTTATTCTTTTACATAGCGAATAGGAGGCTTAACCATTATGGGCTTCTTAAAAACAGTTAGGTTATAGATATGGTAAGAACTTGGAAACCCTAAATTTTTGGTGAAATAGTTCCCCTTAAAAAATTTTCCTTTTTTAACCACTGAATTTATAAATGATCAATTTCATAACTTGTATTTTTGGAATGTATTCTTACTATGCCCTAACTAATACCGTACTTGGAAATTTATTGAGCTTACGGCTTCGCATTGGGCCATACTAAATTGTTTATACTTTAACATGATCTATATTTATGTTTATAGAACCATTTCTGTAATAATCAAATAGTTTTTTATTTATAAATGATCAATTTCTTAACTTGTATTTTTGGAATGCCCACACTAATACCGTACTTCAAATTTATTGAGCTCACGGCTTCGCTTTTGGGCAATAGTAAATTGTTTATATTTTAACATGATCTATATGTATATTTATAGATTCACTTCAATTATAATCAAATAGTTTTTAATATTTAAATGATCAATTTTAGAGCTGTTGCGTTGTTTATTCGTTCTTAATATGCCCACACTAATACCGTACTTCAAATTTATTGAGCTCACGGCTTCGCTTTTGGGCAATAGTAAATTGTTTATATTTTAACATGATCTATATGTATATTTATAGATTCACTTCAATTATAATCAAATAGTTTTTAATATTTAAATGATCAATTTTAGAGCTGTTGCGTTGTTTATTCGTTCTTAATATGCCCACACTAATACCGTACTTCAAATTTATTGAGCTCACGGCTTCGCTTTTGGGCAAAAGTAAATTGTTTACACTTATATGTGATCTACATCAATTATATGTACCGATTTACTACAGTTGTATCCAAATATATATATTTTAAATTTATACATCTCATCTTATTTTATATTTTTAACTTTTTAATATTATATTTCCACTAAAATTAACATAGTAATTTTAATTGTTTAATTGTTTATAGTTCCCGTATTTGTCCAAGTGAGCTGATTGCATTAAGTGATAGAGTATCTGAATTCAGAGCACTAAATACTGAAGTAGTAGCATGTTCTGTGGATTCATATCTTTCCCACCAAGCATGGTCTCGTACATTGCGTTCTGATGGAGGCATTGCCATACCTAAAATGCCACTACTATCTGATCCAACACATGTCATTAGTAAAAGTTATGGATGTTATTTATCAGAGCTTGGCCATTCTCTCAGGTGATTTTATTTATCATAAGGTTTTTCATTATTATTTTGATAATAAAGACTTTAAATTATACTGTTACATTTATTTTCAGAGCTCATTATATAATAGACATGAGGGGTATTTTAAGACATGTGACAATTAATGATCTACCTGTAGGCCGGAATATCAGTGAAATATTAAGACTTTTAGAAGCTTTCCAATACACTGATGAAACAGAAACATTATGTCCTGCTGATTGGAAACCTGGCGAACCAACTATATCATAATTGTATTATTATTATTTCTATTATTATTATTATTATCACTACTGCTAAGCTATTTTAAATTTATATTATTATTATAGTTCATTTCTATTACTGAATAAAAGTAAATTTATTGAACTTAACAACTTTATAATGAATAATATTCTTCGTAATAACCCTGTATTTTCACATACATGTACTATGTACATCTACAATACACTCAAGAATGTTATGCAATTTGTGTACTTAGTCTTAGCAAAACTGTTCCAAATAAAACCTGTAAGTTACATGTTTTATCTATTGTCAAGACCAACTGATGTAAAACAATATATCTAATTTATAAATATTGAAATAAAAAGGTAATTTTTTAAATAATGTCAACCATTTATTTTTCACTTAATTCATGCCTGACATCTACAAATATATGAATTGTTTTATGTAGTCTTCGATTTTGTACAAAAAGAAAAATACTTAACTGTACATGACAATAATATTCACGCGCGATAATATTTACAACGTGTCCATTCAGTTCCAATAAACACTAAATTTTTTTTATAAATATATCATAATCTAGGTAAAACAAAATTTGTTTCTTTTGTAAAAAAAAAAATTATATATATCATATATATTAAAATAATAATTATTATTATTATTGAAATAACATATTTTAGATTACATTATTAATTAATAAAGTCTACTTACAATTCATTTTGAGGCAATTTAACATTATTTTTTCCAGTTGAGATAAATTAAAAAATAAATAAAAATAAACGCACTTACAACATTATCATTATTAATATTATTATTTTCTATAGACACATTTTATTATATACAGTACAATACAAAGTATAAAATATTTTTTTGAAATATTAAAAAAAAAATAAATAAAAATCAATGTTACATTTTTTAAGTATCAGTTTTGACTAATTTATAATAACCCCCACAAAAATTTATTTGGGACATTATTTACATTAAAAAAAAGAAAAAAGTGTTCACTATACACAATGTTTAATGCGGAAAATGTAAACTATTTATAGGCTATAATATAAATATTAACAAAACCTCAATAATAAAGGAATTAACATTATTGATTAGCTTGAAAAAAATTCTAAAAACAATCACACGGTCAGTCTCTTTGTTTGATTTGTCTAAGGATTTAAATTTTTATATATATAATTTTTAAATTTCTTAGTTTTTTTTTTGTTTTTGTCCAACTGATTCAAAACAAAAGATTCCGGAAATTTGTTTGCGTAAAATAGTAAACTATTTTAATCAATTCAATTATAAATAAATAAACATAAACAAAATTAATTTGCAGTAAGTGAAAAAAAAACCGTTATACAACTTTAAATGAAAGAGTTAAACTGGAAGAATAAAAATTGCATTCGTATCGTTATTGGGCGAGAGGAGACGGCGTATTTCTGGAACATTGGAATAGGACTCGCGATATGAGAGCCGCCACTTGCTGATCGAGTATTTGGCTCATGACTAATGACAATAACCTCTGCTCTTGTTGCAAGAACAACGGTCTGTTGTCCGGGTGTCTAGATAGCAGCAACAATATGCGTGCTGCTCTCCTCAACATGTCTAAGCTTGTTCCCATCGAATCGGGATTATCGCGGAGTGCATTCAGCCCATGAGTGTTTACCACACTCAGAGCATTCTGTTCAGTCTGTTCAATAAATGCTACCAGTAATGAAACACATGGGCTTTGAAGCGCTATCGTACGTGCCATACCACTGTCTGCAGCTGCTAAGTAGTGTAACAAATTGACTGCAAATTCTCTGAGTACCTGGAAAATAAAAATTATTCCTATTAGTTTTGAATGAATTTGGTTAGTTGTGACTCACAGGGAAAAATAGCATAATTTTATAGTTGCAAATATCATCTTGCCACAAGTTATAAAATGGTTTGTAAAAATATTAATTTGTGTGAAATCAAGAATTTAAAAAATGGATATTTTTTATATGTATAACCAATAACTAATGAAGGGTTACAAAACTAGGAGATATAAGTAAGTAAATAAATAAAAACCATTTAGAAAGTAACAATTAAATAAATTCGGCACAACCCATTACCCAGGGGGCAGTGTATATTTTTACAAACATGACTTACTTGTTCTTCGGTCCTGCATAATAACCGAGTAAGGACATTGGCCAATTTTTCCAGTCGTGAATAAGGTGGGGTAGCGATGACCAGATCTACATTATTATCGGTAACACATAACTTGCACAGACATTCTAATGCTAGTCGCTGAGGTGAGAGCGGTGCTGAAGGAAATGGATCTTGGCCTGCAGCTGCCGGACATATAGCCCAATGTAGCAAACCGTCTAAAATGGGACGTGAAATATCTTCATTGAACGTGCTCAAATCAACATAACCAGCAATGTTAGCCAAAGAAACAAGCAAATTTTCCCTGACAACGTCTAAATAATCCCACCACCACTTGGCATCATTGCCTGGCTCAATTGTATCGGCATCTGTTGTTGTAGTGCAATTGAATAAAGTTTCCGTGTCATCATCAGCTTTATCATAATTCCTAGTTTTAGATGAGCGTAGTGGATGTTCGTGGTGAGTTAATAATAGTTTGCCAACCAAACCTAAAAATGGGCCACTTTTTGCAAACTCTAATTCATTGCCAGGAACAAATGAAAGATTTCGTAAGATATTCGATATGCACACACATCGTTTACCAATGGAATCTTGGCTTTCGCTAATTAATGATAAGCTTGACTCGTCTTTAGAATAACTTTCATCTTCGTAGTCTGTTATGCTCTTACGCTTCAGTACACCCATTGGATCACGCACATTAATATTTTTCATATTTACAATATTGTCAATACTGTTTTGTACTAACTCCTTATCATCTAATTTTTTTATACATGTCTTATCATCTAATATTTCTGCTTTAGGTTTATCACTCTTCAATAGTTTGACAAATGGCACAAGACCAAACTCTGAACGAAAACAAGGCACAAGAAAACTTGTATCTGTTTCAGCAATGTTATATCCCATGTCATAATTATCAATTACGTCCCATGATCTCTTGCCATTTTTAATAAATAATTCTTTAGATCCATCAATAATTGCAGAACTCTTAATTGGTCGTTGATTGGGGAAGTTAGGATCAGCAAAATATGCTTTTTCATTTGGATTTACATTATCTACAGCACCAACATCTGGTATTTCTTCTATCACTTTAGACTTTTCATACCAGCAATATGATTTTATATCAGTTTCTAGCATATCAACCAACGACTGCCGAAAATGTTCTAAGAGTACATCTAATAATCCAGGCATGTGTGTTAGTCCAAAAAAGGGTATAGACACATCATCAAACAGCAATATATTGAGCACATCCAAGGCCCAAGTAGACTCTGCTAAAAGACCTGAACGTAAAGACATCATCAATCGCCATGCATCCACGGGAGCAACATCATGTCGCATCATTCGGCGCCGCTTATAAAGGATTGGTGTTACGGCTTCTATGCTATCAGGGGGGAAAATTACTTCTCGCTTCATTAAGCTACTGCCTTGGAACATTGGTTGCCCTGGCATTCCAGGCTATAAAAACAAAAAATAATACATTATTTAAGTATATAATAATATAGCACAGATCATAATATAGTATATACCCCGTTTCAAAAGAGAACATACCAGTGCCACGGGCAAAATCAGTTTTCATATGTAAATCTGGTATATTCTCTTTTGAAACAGTGTATAGATGAAACTATGCCCATCTCAGTAGCGTTAAACATTTGAATTTTGAAGTAAAAAATATAAGCAATGACGCATTGTATTAAAGGCTCAATTAGTACATGTATGAGGCGAATTGTGGCGTATTTATCGGTTTGGTTGCTGATTGATTTATATATTTATAAATATCAATTCAAATAGATAAATAAGTGACATTTCTCTTTGAGCATGAGCAGTTTATTGGTCTAATACAGTAACAGAACACTTGTAGCTAATATGTGCTTTAAATGATTGAGATATGGATCCAAACTATAACATAAAAACTAATAAGTAGTCCCTCAGAAGATACAATTACTTAGGTTATTGTTATTTTTATTTCAAAATGAGATAAAGAAACAAATATGTTCATTAGGTGATACATAAATATAGAAATTAAAAATATTACACGGAATGCAAATAAAAGAATATAGCTTATTTTTATGCAATATAATAAACTGTTAAATAATGAAAATAAAAAAATACCGCCAATAGGAAGATACAAACTTTTAATTTTAATTTTAAAAGGTCAGAATTTGAAGATAAATAAATTAAGATTATAACCGATCTGCATAAAGACAAAGATAATAGTCCTCAGTTTAAAATAATTTTGAAAATTTATTCACCTTCATATGTGGTGGTGGAGCCATTGGACCATGTGGTCCATACGGTTTATTCCCATCAGGTCGATATCCATGTCTTGGCATTCTCATTTGTGCTTGCGCCATTGGACCCCAATGATTCTAAAAAAAGTATGATGGAATATTTCGAGGTACAACAAATTATAAATAATCAAAAATCAACTCACTTGTTGTGCACCGTAAGGTTGTCCTTGTGGCGGATATCTATGCTGTTCCCATTGGGGTGGTTGTCCTGGATGTGATGGAGGCATAGAACGCGGTGGACCCTGTGACCAATTCTGTGGTGGTTGAGATCCAGGTGGATACCCAGGTCGGGGATATTGATTAGAGGCAGCATTTGGTGTACCTGTCCATCCTAAAATTTGTTAAGACAATTCAATTTCAATTTTAGAAATTAAAGAATTATATTTCAATATTTACCTGGATACATAGGTCGCTGCTGAGGACCATAACCAGGATAACTAGCTGGTTGAGGAGGCCCAGCTTGTTGATCTTTAGCAAAATCAGGATGACGACGTGGCTGTGGTGGTGGCATTCCTTTCCCTGGATAAGTACCCGGAGCACTAGTAGGAGGATATCCTGGACTCTAAAATAGTGATTAAAATAAAAAATTATGTCAAATAGATTTTAATTAAATTGATTAATATGTATACTTACCGCAGGAGGTTCTTGTCGATAATAATCTGGTTGAGGTTGTTGACCAGGTGGATAACCCGGGGTAGAAACTGATCCCCCTTGTGTTTGGTTTACTGTAGCAGGTGAAGAATTCTGTGGAGGTGGGGGTCCAGGAAACCTGGGGGGTTGTTGGTAGCCAGATGGTGGTGGAACTGGTCCACGTCCATATGGGTCTTGACCATTGCCAGGGCCCTGAGGAGTATTTGGTGGGCCTTGTGGAGGAGGAACTGAACCACCATAATTTCTTTGGTAAAAAAAAAAAAGTTAGCAAACGGATATAGTTTATATGCACAAATTATTATTAGTTATTACCTGTCAGCATCATTTGAATAAGGTGGATATAAAGGTGGTCTCACTGGGCCACTCGGGTAACCAACCGGAGTACTAGCAGGTGGATAATGTTGTCCATACTGTTCATTGCTGCCTGGATACTGTTGATTGTATCCACCTTGTCCTTGGTAACTTCCTTGTGTTCCTATCAAGTCATCAGATGTTAATTGACAATAATAATAGTAACGCATATTTAAGCATTATTCGTCTTCAATATTAATAGCAAATACATGTATATTAAAAATTAAATCGACTATAAGAAACAATTAAATTATCAGAAACATAACAACATTATCTTATATTTTAATAAAGTAAAAAATAAGCCATTTAAGATTAAAAAATAAATAACAGTACGAAAAACAAATGATAACAAATAATCATTGTAGAGTATTGACAGCACCACTAAATTACATGTGACTAAAATTTAACGACCACTGTGTTCTCGCATTTTTCATTAGTCTTATCAGGAGGTCTTTAGAATCTTAACGAATATTATTTTTTATTTTTACAGGTGGCTAATTCTAAACATTTGATAACGACGCTATTTTTGATTAATACGACGGAAACTCTCTTAATTTATTTCTTTCTCTCTCTGTTTGTCAACGTGTATAAGATACCACATTTTTATCTATCGCGAGGTAGATTAGACAACGCAGGCAGCCGATAAAATTAAGTGGACTCGACCTGCATGCGTGTCTCCGCGTTTTACAAACATAGAACATAACAAATCTGAGTTCAGAAGAACCATTCTGTGTTGTTACTCATTAGATTTAATGTTAGAGTGAATTGATCTACTGTCTAGTATTAAATGTAAAGCTAAAGAGTCTTGTAAGCATTTACTGATATATTAAGAGGGTTATAAATCATAATACTTAACATAGTTATAAATTATAACTTGCATGATGTCTTAGATAATATGTTTAAGCTTTAAATGTTACTTGCTCAATTGACTCTAATACTAAAGCAAAATGCTAATAAACCCAAACTTGGTTCTTTTAAACGAAGATTTGCTGTTGTACGTTGGTAAGAGACTACTCAGCGTGTTCGGTGTCCTCTTAACATATTTTTATAATTATTACCGAATACAATTGCAAACGGTATCTATCGAGGTATCTATTATAAAGATAACGTACTTCCTATAATTTTAATTTCGAAAATAATTTAGATCGAGAATACAAATGTCGATATAATATTAGAAGTTATTAACTGGAATATAAATTAAAATCAACGTTACACCAGAGACCTTATTGTCAATCCAGAGCCAAATGTGTGGAGGTCTTACGAAATTTAAAAATGAAATTCTCTACATAACCGTACATGGATAGACGAAATATAAACATACATCCTAAAGTATACAGTACAAATAAAAAATGTGTATATTACGTAACCGATCAATAAACTGCTCATAATTTAATACATTGAAAAGAAGAAACCATTAAATTTACTTAAATACTCTATATTGTATGGTATTTAAGTATATAATTTAAACTTTAATCGGCAACTGGTAAAATAATAACTATTTGTAATTTATTACAGTTCAGGGTGGCCCACGCAAGCCATTATAAACATTTTTAAACTACTATAGTATATTATAAGCACTATATATATTTTAATATCTAATTATTGTAAATTCTAAGAAATATTACTCATTACCTTAGTGATAACATTTGGAGTATAGACATTTAAGTATTAAAATAATGACGTAGATGAAAGGGAAATGCAAAAATATATTTTATAAATTATGTCCGAAAACTAATAGGAAGAACAATTTTCTTAATAGTATTACTATTATAGCGCGTCATTTGTTTCCTTTCTGGGTTTTGGGTAATGAAAATTGTATTTAAAAATACATCTCTAACTTTGATAATTCGGGTATCTTCATGTTTCATTAGTTGAAATCTAAGAATTTAATTTGTAATTTTCAACATTCATTTTGGTTAAAAAATGATGAGTTTATATAAGGACCCAGCCCCAACAATGTAATCTGTCTTAAGTCGTTATTATACGTTTGTAAGATGGAAACGACCATAATATTATGTAGGCGTCTTCTTAATGTGGCTAATGAGGTACTTTTTAGACACTATTATAATATTATGAAAAATTGTTTTTGTATACATACATCTAACGGCATTTTTATAGAGTTACAGTTAAATAATCTATCTGCCATATAAAAAAAATGCATAAAACTAATTCATAATGATCGATAATTTGAAATAAGAGCGATTTTAACAGTGTATGTTCAAATAGCTATTACCTATATTATTAATTATTATAAAACAATTATTACTATCTATGCATTTTTAAGACGACGCCATACCCGCACGCCGCCTCTAAATAAAATGCAAAATATGAGATACCCTGATCTAAAATACATCAATGCTAATATTACAAATTACATGTATTAACAAGTAATTATTTGAAAGTAAAAATAAAAATCGATTATCAAAACATAAAATGATAAAACAATATTATAAATAAGTTTCCATATTATTAGCACATTTAAGTTAACCAATTTTTATTAGTGCATTTTATTTTTTTGTGTTTAGCTTTCGTTGACATAATATACATAAAACATAAAATGTATCTAATTGAAATATCTTTTTTTATTTCTCTGCTCTACTGTCGTTGTGTAGACGCTTTCTTGCTATTAATAGCATATCTCCTATCAAAAAAATTATTTCCCAATAAAACGAATTTAATACAGAACAGTTAGATATAGTTAGATATAGTAATATTATAACCCTTTAACAAACAATGACGTATATATATTTTTAAAAATACTTCCATGGGGAACGTTAACGGTTAGAAATGTTTATATCGCCAATGTTTTTTAAATTACTTTATAGGGTTTTATATTAAAACCCAACATATTTATTATATACCCTTAAATAAGACGTATTTATACGTCATTACTAAAAAATATGGTGTGTCAAAATAAAAAGTAAATATGTCATTGGTCTGAGATTTATAATTATTTTTTTCAAGTTCACTAACTGACTACTTGTAATTTATTCCTCAAAGAGTTGATGCAATAGTCAAAGAGTTAACCAATAGGTTAATTGTGATTATAATGAAAACAATTTAGTATTTTGAATTAAGAAATATTATAACAATAATATAATGTAGACATTAAAACCAATATTTGACGAACATTTGAATCAAAACAAATATATTCCTAATTGATAACTTACTAATATACTTAAACATAAATAAATTAACACCATAAAATCTTACCGTGAGGTGGGTGTGGAGGTCTTTGAGGTGAATTATAATCTTGTGGACCACTATAACCTCCATATCCTGGATATCCATCTACATGACCTGGTCCTGGAGCAGTTGGTGCAGATGGTAATGAGTCTTGTGAATTAGATCCTGCAGAACCTAATCGTAATTATTCACTTGAATCCCACATTCTCAACACACTTTGTGTGTTGAACAAGATCACTTACCAGGAGAAGGCACAGATGTTGCTTTAGAACTTTTTTTCTTTGAAGAAGATTCAACTTGATTGATTATAGGTACAGGATCTATGCCTCCACGATCAAAGTGACATTCATAAGGTAACAAATTTTTAGTGTAGTGTTTTCTTAGAGTGTAAGCCGCACTTGATGATGCACCAATACCCAACAAACCAGCTACATCCTTCCATATTTTATTTTTTGTTACCTAATAAATTTAAGTGATATTAAGCAAATCCATTAGCTAATGTTACAGGATAGTTAAGTAGTCCAGATTTAGGGGCACTAAAAATAAGCTAATTATTTATAGTTATGCACCAAAGCTGTTTCAGCAACATACTGTAACTTTTACTTTATATAATTTACATAATATAACTTGATATTAATTCATCTTTAATTACAACAAACATGACTTGATAAGAACAATCTCTAGTTATAAAAAAAGTAAAAATCAGCTAAAAACAAAATTGACTCACCTTGCATACCTCCATAAAACCCCCTCGCTCTTTAACATATATATACAAGCGGAACAAATCAAGAGGGTTTTTGGAGATAGTAGGACATGTAGAGATTGGTGATCCTCTTTCTTCCATAAAATGTAGCAATTTATCCAACCAAATGCGTCGTTCTGGATTATCATCCATTTCATATAGTTTACTCAAGCTATCGTGTTTCTAAAAAATAAAATGGTTTGTTTAGTTTTAAATTACTCTTTGCAAGTTAAGAAAAATATTACCTTTGGTCGATATACATGTTCGTTTTGAGGAGCTATGTGGCTATTAAATACTGGGTTATGTGATGGAGGTCCTCTGGGCCAAGCAGGTGCCATTGGATCTGGATTTGAATACTCATCATGGGCAGGTGAACATGGCGGTCCCATTATACCACCCATTCCTTGTTGGTACATCATGCTACCACTCATGTTTTCTTTTCTTTTAGGTGTTGTACAGTTTGAGTCATCACCAGAGGCTGAAAAAAAAAAATTGATAACTAAAAGTTTTAAAATAATTTTATAATTTCTAAATAAAATAACTTAAAAAACAATTTACCAGCTGAGGCATTTGATAGAGTCGATTGCTGACTTGCATCATCAATAGCAGTACCATCAGGTCCAGTGGTAACGACAGAAGTTACAACACCACTAAGACTTTGCTGTTGTTGTGAAACTTCATGATCAACTGACATCATTGAAGAATTTGGTGGTGCCATTGGAGGACCAGTATTAGATTGAACTGGTGCTGGTGGACCCATACTATGAGGAGGCATGGAATTTAAATAATTTCCTGGTCCAGAATTAGGTGGGATTGGGCCTGATGTCTGATAGCCTCCAGGACCTTTGTGTTGTTGCTATAAATTGAGAAAAAATAATAATTTAGTTTTAAAGGGATTTACAGTAATAACATAGAAAAAACCAATAATATCAATTGAAGCAAAACATTTTAAGCCACATATAAAGCATTAGTTTTGTGGTTGTTTGGATGTTCACCTGTAAGTGTTGCTTGAGGTAGTGTGGATGAGGTGGTGTATGAGGCCTGGGACCAGGTGAGACAGGTGGCGGTGGTCCAGGAGAAGTGCCTTGCTGCATTGGATGCATTTGATGAGCATGTGGATGCATGTGGGGTCCTGGAGGGGGTGGGTGATGAGGATGGTGATGGTGTAATGGGGATTGTGCAGGGGGAGGGTGCTGAATTGGTGGTTGTTGGTGTTGCTGAGACTGTGTTTGTGGTGATTGTTGTTGTTGTTGTTGCTGTTGCTGTTGTTGTTGTTGCTGCTGCTGCTGCTGCTGCTGCTGTGGGGAAGATGACGGGGGAGGTACTTTGGTAGGTGTAGGTGGTTGAACAGGACCACTATGGTGACTATTATTTAATGGAGGTGGTGCTTGTGGTGGACCACTACCAGGCCATCCCTGCAAAGCACACATTGTGTCACAAAAAGCATGTCATGGGATTTATAAGAAGCAGATCCAATATAAAAATACCAAATATTTTTTGTAATCAAACAATATTTAGAAGTTCAAATTATTTCAAATATATATATATATATATATATTGTTTAATATATTTGAAATACATTTAAACACCAAATAGGGTACCCAGCAAAATGTTAAGTATTAGTAATGACAACACATTAAACATAATATAAGAATGCATTACACGGAACACTTCCCAATTTAAAAACTTACTTGATAAGGAGGAAATTGATGAGGCGGTCCATGATGCATCGGCATACCTCTAGGAGAGTATTGTTGTGGAGGACCATTACTATTAGGTGGCGGATACCCTTGATAAGGTAAGCCAGGAGGTCTAGCACCATAATTACCTGCATATTTAACATTTATAACATTAATAAACAAAATATTTATGAATGTTGATGATATTTTACCTGGAGGTTGTTGAGGGTAAGATCCCATAGGCGGAACAGGCTGTTGTGCAGGATAACCACCATGTGAAGATACAGGTGGAGGGGGGCCATAAGGATTTGGTCCGGGCATTTTGTAAGGATTTCCTGGCGCCCCGGATGAAGGACCTGTCATATGAGGCATTCCACCTGGTGGTTGAGGGGATGGTTGTTGTTGATATCCTTGTTGTGGCCCCATAGGCGAATGACTCATTCTATTATTTTGAGTTGCTTGCCCTTGGTCAGGCTGCTGTTGGCTGCTTGGTGGCCTAGGCGGCATTGGAATGTTCTGTTGCTGTTGTTGAGGTGGTCCTCCACCCGGCGGTGCAGTGACCGCGGGCGACATGGAACGAGAACCAGTAGATCCTGTTGGAGACGGCGATGGCCGCAAAGGAGTGCCACCATTGCCAGCACCGGCACCACAATTGCTGTCATTACTATTTTGACTTGTCAAATCCTGCATAAAAAATACAGTAGGCGTTATTGACGCGGAAATATATAAATACAAATAGAATCAACAGGTCGAACTTAGACTGTAAAAAGATGCAAAAGGATCATACGGTTAGAAGGGTGAAGTGGAAAGAGGGGAAGGGGGTCAATAAAACATGTGGAGGTTTCGGGGAAGACCTACCGTCTGGTCGGGGAAAAGTACGAACGAAAGAGACGGAACGAGGAAGACAGAGAAAGAGAAAACATGGTATGTACTATATACACATAAAAGGTATTCCTTCTATATTGCGGTAATTGGAAAAAGAGATGATTGAGCGGAGGGCTGGGGGCACGTGGAAGAGCGCGGGGACAACAAAGTTGTGCACGACGAGACGCGGAGGGTTAGAACCTTTCCGATGACTGGTGGTGGAGAGAAGGGTGAGAGAGAATGACTGAGAACAAGGACCGCGGCAAAAGGGTGGAGGTAACACGCTATTCTCCGACACATATATTTACACACACACACACACACACACACTATATGTATATATGTATACAAAGAGTGTACACAAACGGATGATAAGGACACCGGTAAGAGACGGAACAGGGGATTGGTAGAGGGGAAGAGGCACGTGTGATGCCATTCATAACATGGACAGACCACACCAGTTATTTCACCATCATTGCCAGTTTTCAATATAAATCAAATAGGTTGTACGCTGTTACATCTTCGCAATGTGTAAACGGTTGTGGCTTCCTTTTTTTTCAATGGAATGGGGTCAAAAACCGACCATGACCTTTTGGGACTTATCAATCACTGTGCATTTTTAGCAGTGAAAACAACGGAAAGGGAAAGTACCTAACGAACGTATTGTCAACAACATCGTTTAAATTATAATAAAAATTATGATATGATTTAGAATATCATACAACAATAAACAGAGTAACAAAAGTTCATGAGTCCAGAGTAAGTAAGTAAGCCTTATGTTTCAAATACACACGCCCCATCAAAAAATAAAAATGTCAAACCAAATCATTACTCATAAGGACCTACAAGTCATGCAAAAAATAAATACCCCTTCAAAATGATAAAATTTACGTCATTCCAATAAAAAAAAAACGGGGGTCGCTCTGCTGAAAAGGTTTCAAATGTACGTTACGTTATCATTGAGTAGGTCGATGTAATGTATGTGTCAAAGTCGAATTCATTGATAAATCATTGCATACGACAAACGAATCTTATCGGAAATGATGTGACAGTATCTTTTATTTCTAAGGATATTTTATGATTTATTAAATTACTAGTTGTAATTAATTTTTTTTCAAACGGTATATATTGGACTATACATTTTTCCAAAAACAGCATAGTAGCATAATATACTATAATAATTATTATAATTGTGGTATTATGATGTATTATTTATAAAACTATTAAATGGCAATAACGACGTATCTTAGAACGGTGTAAATAAGATCGAGGTACAAATAGCTCAAAATGAGTAATACGTATGGTTCATTATACTATAACCAATGAGTTTAGAGTTAATTATAATATAATTATTTCTTATTTAAATATCTAGATTCCAGAGTTAAAATTGTTTAGTTCTTAAAAGAACAAAAATAAAATGTATTATGTGTATCTCAAATTTTATCAAAATTAACTTCATATAATGTTAAACAAAATATTGTGAACATGTAGTTTTGATATTCTTTAATCACTGTAATAACTTATGAAGAACCTTATAAATTACAGGTTAACCTATTAAAGCTCCAAGGCATTTAACTGAAAAAAAATTATCAATATAAATCTAATCTTCAATTTTAAATGTCAATAAACAGCTCAAATACAGCAAAAATATTTAGGAAACTATAGCGTGTAATTTGTTGTTACAACAACAAATGAACAAAATAAAATCTATTTGGTGAAAACTTATGTTGCTTAAATTTTCCTGTTTTTCAGTATTTATTTAAAAAAAGTTAACTGATCGTTCTAAAAATAAGGTATCGTGATTTTCCTTATGTTTAAATTTCAAAGTACTAACTAAATTCAATTTTCTATCAGCTACCACTCTTAAAGTTGAAAATTGAAACGTCTTGAAGCAAACTTTAGAACACAAAAATAATTTTAAAACACATTATAGTAGGACTAATGGTACGCTCAGAATCTGAGATTTGATATTCCAATATCTGCATCGTATAATATTTAAAATAATATAGAAATACGAGATATAAACCTAGGTAAGGTAATAGCAAGTATATTTTATATTCCGATGATTAAGTTTTTATAGATTTATATGAGATTTAAAATAGAATAATTTGAATACAGTAACTATAAAAACACAAAAATAAAAAATATATAGGATAAACAAATAGCATTAGGTATGACATTATAAAAATGCACTAATAATTAATTTTAAATACAATATATTATGGCTGTCTATTCGATTAAAGCTAAAGAAAATGATTCAGAACAACAGGGTGGTATTAAGTAATTACCTAATAAGGAATAATAAATGATAGAAAACATTACAATGAAAAACAATTTACCGGCGTAAACATATTTCATGAATCGAAACTAATCCCTATACAGTTTTCAGATATGATAATTGCAGTGTTTCAATACTTTGCAAACTAAGTGACTTTTAATAGAGAATTTCTTATTGACGATGATAATTTTGAAGCTCAAGTAGATGCATCAAGTCTTAAATCAAGTACGATGAGTAGTCACGATGAAAAAATCGATTATATATATATTGTATAACTTTTTGCTGCACCTACTTTAAACGCAATGGTGCTATGCTGCGGAACAATAAAAAAAATACAGACCAATTTGAATTTAGTCATTGTTTCTTTGAATAAATAATATTATAGTAAACCGATTACTGACACTAAAATGTAAAAATATTGATATAATCAATTATTATTGATTGTATAAAAATTATTAAAAACTACAATAATTTGTTGATTTTATATAAAAAGAAAAAGCGTAAGCGAAATATAATAATAGATAAATACAACAAAGCAGATGCCACGAAGTCGATGACATTGTTGTATTGATATATATTATATATTGTCCCTCTTTATTGATCCCAACGCGGGCGTAAAAGCATGGACAAGGCCGCAGCCGATTTAGTTTACGAGGAGACTTTTTTATTTTTAAGTTCAATATTACTATAAATTAAAACGTGTAAATTTTAGAATTAACAAAATACCTAAATTACTTAATATAATATTGCATTACGTTTGAACAAGACATGAAATAAACTAAAATTGAATAGAAGCATAACAAACAATGCACAATAAAAACATAAATTGTATTAAACTCAATCGAAAAAAAAATTACTAACAAGTTTCACCACAATGAGCAAACATTTATTTGAAATCTATATAGCTGAGATTATAATTTTAATGATGTAATACACTAATACGTTCCTTGTCAGTGAACGAGTGGTGTTCCAGTCCACACAATAACATTTTATTTGTTTTTCTTAAATTTAAATAATATAATATTCGATAATTGATTACCTAATAATCATATGAAATAATTTACCCAGTACTCAGTATAATAATTAATTAAAATATGTTCAACAACGTTTAAATTTACGGAATAGTTATGAAAACCCTAAAATGTAAATAAATTATACTTCAGTTGGAATTCTTAGTAATCCTATGTTATCCGCCAGTTAAAATGGCACAATTGATGCATAGTTAATGGAAATGTTAGCGATCGGTCCGTATAGTACAAGTCGTCAGTAGAAATTAAAAAGTGTACACGTGCATAAACAAAGCATCTCGCACTCGTACACATTCAACATACTGCTGATGATACGTTATTTTTGTGGGGTAAAAAAGAAACGAATAGAAGTAAAGCGATAATAATAAAAAAAAATACACAGCTCGCGGAGGCGATGCATCATTAGTACACGAATCGTTAACAGTAAAGACATTTGGCAAAAAGTATCATTGTGTACTAGGTATTATAGAACTATTGCAGTAGTAAATAGTAATAGTAGTAACGGCAGTAATAGTAGTAATAATGTTAAATGGCTCTTTTGCTAATGTAATACTTTCGACACGGGGTCGCGAACAACGGAGGGCCCGGGTCGTGGTCCGGGGAAGAGGGAAAACGATAAAAAGGGTTAGGAGATGACCTCACCCTTAAAATACAACAGTACAGATAGATGAGGAGGACGGTGTCGTCGACAAAGGCGGTGGGTGAGGGGCGAGGGGTATGCAATACTACCACGACGGAGCGGAGGGGCAACCTGTCGGATGAAAGGCTGGATAAGTGATTACGCGCGTATAGACGCCACCGCCACAGTGCCGAAGAGAACCTATCCATCCAACCGTCATAAAAACTTTGTACATTATTTTCGACTCTCCGACGGCCTCGAGCGGAAGAATGAAAGACGGAAAATGATAATGAAATAAAAAAATTATACAAGACGACGGTCAACGAAGACGACGTATGAGTGAGTCAGCGTAAGAGGGGGAAAATAATGCGGAGAAGGGAGAGCCGCGTTCAAGTACACATAAGCGACGTGCACGTTGGAAAAAAACCAACAAAGATAAGCACGCACACACAAACAATATTCCGGTTATCATGCGGCGGCCGGTTCGGCTCTACCGATCTCCCGAAATTACGGCGTCGGCGACGGTTACACACAAGCTCGCGACGCCCGCAGTGTTGCCAACCGACGGGCGGTCAAAAAGGAAAACCGCCGCGGAAATACGGCGACGCGATGCACGCAATGCGTACCAACGAAAATGAGGGGACGACGTCGGGCGCGGAAAATCGAAATTTTAGTTCCGGCCGTTGGCGACGGCGGACAAAAGTCGAAACGGCTAGCTCGACCAGCCGAACCAAGTTCCCTACATCCACATTTTAATCGTAGGGCAATCGACATGTACGGCATAGTCGTAATTATCATTATTACTATTGTTTTGTATTGTAGGTAATGGGTATGTAATATATTTATAACGATAGCCTCGAGAGTTTTCTCCCCGATTCGCAGCTCGTCACACACGGGCACCACGCACCGTCGATCTACGACGACGGCGGTGATGATTACTACTACTACTACTACTACTACTACTACTACAACTACTACTACTAATACTACTACTACTACTACTACAACAACTACTACTACTACTACTACTACTACCCCCGCCACCACCATCATCAACATCCCCTCCGCCGCAACTACTACAACGCCGGGGACCGAGAGCGGGAGCGCGCGCGCAAAACGCGGAGAGCCCATTGCCCGAATAGAACATCTGTGGCGGCCGTAATAAACAACGTACGGATAACGCGCGCTCGGCGCTATAACGGTGGGGGGAGGATACCCGATTTGACGGTGGTTGGGCGGCGGTAGGACCGACGGAGGGGCCGGCACGCCGCGTGGCGTTGGCGGGAAGTGACGGGGTCGGCGGGTCGGGGAGGGGCGAGAGCGCGCGCTGACTGGAACTCGAGTCGAGTGTGCTGCTAGCAGCAACGTTCGTGCTCGGGAACGACGTGGCGGGGCATTGGGGTAACGGCGCAAATAATGGATGCTCGGGACACCGAGCCGACCGCCGACCGAGCCCAGGCCGCTGGTAACGTGTATTCAAAGCGTGGTACACAGTACACACACGCCGTACACTACAACAACGATACGCATTCTTTGCACATGATATAATAATATATTGCTTGGTGTATGTGGTTATTCGTTGTCGTCGTAGATTGCGGCGGCGGCGACGACGACAGCGTGCGCGCCTAACCCGACTACGACGACGGTCCCAGGTACCTATGGCCGGCTTACTGCCATATTATACGAGCACAACACACACGAGAACGCGTGTGCATTCATCGCGCCATCAATAATTATTATTATTTATTTGTGTAATATAGAAAAGAAAAAAAATGTTTTATTTCGCACTGGCGCACCAACGGTAGAAACCGGATTGCAGCCGCTCATGAATGTGCATCGTGCGTATGCGGTACACGCCACTTAGGCATAACTGTTTACGCCCGTCCGACTCCGATAAGAGCTGGCGTAAAAAAAATGCGCCTTTTTCGTGTATGCTTGGGCGACTGACTCATAATTATTTTCCGTCCGTTTATCTACTGTGGTCGATGCTGCACCGGCTATCGTTTTTCGCCTATTATTCGTCTTTTATACCCTTATCAACTGTCAACAAAGTGGCGGCTGAGCTCAAAAAAAAAGATCCAGACACGCGTTTAATGAATAAGTTATTTTGTTCACTTTAAACGCCGAAAATCGTTACGTTGGATGTTACTTTTACATTTTTACAGTGTACGCGCAACGGCATCAAAATGCCACCACACATTCTGTTTCAAATTAATTTCAGTAATTTTCCTCCTAATTGAGATGCTTATTGCTTCTATGACTACACATGGCCACATTCCTTATTACTCAATAAGAACTAAAATTAATTAAATGTAAAAAAAAAACTGTTCGCGTTTCGGCAATATTGTCATTACTACGGGATCATTTATTTTGTAGTTAGGTGTCCTTCAATAGGTATTTAGAAAGCCGGGTTGAAACAAACGCGTTTACATGGAAATAATTCATACATATATGTATAAACGTTACGTATTGAGAATGAAAAAAAAATCAAATATGTAGCTAGATAGGTTTATTATTATTACTGTTTGATGCAAATTAAATGTAACGGTCAAATACTTTCGGCATTTGTAGCCAGACCAAATAGGAACCAGTAAATGTATTCTACACTTACATACTAAAATGCAAGAATAATTTGACGGAAAAAAATCTACAAAACCTGTCGTACTGCACATAATAATATTGGTTCCCAAACCAGTTGCTATCGCATTTTAAAGGCCACGACCTATATACTTGGTTCAATGTACTGTTTGTCCAGAAAAATTAGACAAATATTATCCATTATCCGTGGATTTAGTTTGATAAACCACAGTGGTTTAATAACAATCTTGATTTTTAAAATACAAGACATAAAAAGCATAGTTAAATATTATTCGGAATACTTGTAAGTTTAATCTAAATCTAATATTTAATTCTGTATAGTAGCCAACAAATGAAATTATTAACCATAAATAGCTAATGCAACAAGGATATCGGAAAAAAAACAAACATTAGAACATGTTTAATGTCTATAGAACATCGAATAATACATTCCTAACATAAAAAACGTATTATAATCTGTTTAACTAAGTTAGTCATCCGTTGTTTGCGTAGTAATTCACGTAATTTTTCTGTATCGTAAAAAGAAAATTAACCACCCAACCAAAAATTTGAAAGTAGGTAATATATTTTCGACGTATTATAACAAAAGAAAGTACATTCCAAGAAAAGAATATCTTGGGCTGCATCATTAAGATGTATTTAAAAAAATTGTGTTATAAATAATAAACCAAACTTAAAACGTTTTACTTTGTATGCATATTATTATCACAGTCGTTTTAAGAACAAACCGGTTGCCATTTAAATTTGTTTAAAAAAACCATTTTGAATACACAGACACAATAGAATAAAAAAAAGGTCTTATGCTCTGATATAGATTCTGCTGACGATAGTGCATCAATTTAATGTTTTTGCGTATGTGATTTTAGACAATGACATTCCAATAATAAAAATAAAAACATAAAAATTTTAGTTGCAAGGGTTAAGTTTTAATTTTGTTAATCAACTCCTATAATATAATTATTACGATCGGACAACTAAATTTTGTACCTCGGCGTTAGCACAACGAGCCACGTCAAATATTATTATTGTTCCCGCTGCAAAAAAGCGTCCCAAGCCATGTGTTACGCGCGAGCACACACAACACACACACATTTGAATCAGACCAGTAGTGTTAACGATTTGTATCATTTTAACACAAGTGTTTTTAGAAAATAGAAACAAACGAATGTTTGTCACATTTTGATAAAATATCGAATAACTCACCGGATGAACCTGCGGCGGTGACTGGTGAGGTGGTTGCTGCTGAGGCTGTGGCGGCGGCGTCGGCGACGAGTGTTGCTGGGCATTTTGGCCCTGCGACACGGGTGGCAAAGCGGGCGGGCTCGCCGACGCCGGCGACGACGTCGTCTGTCCCAGACCAGCGTGAGGTTGTTGAGGCGGTTGTGGAGGAAGTTGGGGCTGCTGCTGCGGTTGTTGTTGCTGCTGCTGCTGCGGTTGTTGTTGTTGCTGCTGCTGCTGCTGACGATCAACCGGCGGTTGCTGGTTCGGGTAGCTGCCATAAGGTACCTGCAGAAAAAAAAGGAACCGCGGTCAACACACAATTTATACCCAACCATACGTGTACGGCCGGGGCGCCTTCAGTTCTTTTTAGGGTTTATTAAATGTTTATTTGCTAGACGTGTTCCAGGTCTATGAAGGGAGTAGGGACTCCGTGAAGTATCTATCGGAAAATTGAACTCTACGTAATAATTATTCGCAATTTTATTAAACAGGGCCCCAGGCCGTTCATAATGGAGCCCCTTATAATAATTGATCCATGGGCCGTCGACACTGGTGAACACTGTGCGCATACTATTATGATTGTACCCAACGGTAGTAATAGTTTAGTAAGGATTAAAGTTAATAGAAATAATATTGCAGAAATAGTAGTAGTAGTTGTAGTAGTAGTAGTAGATCAAGTAGTAAAATACGGTATAGAGTAGTAGTAATTGCATGGTATATACTATAGTAAACACTAAACAACGTGATCACGTCCTAGTAAAGACTAATAATAGTTATAGTGATGATTATGATAATAATAATAACGAACGCTGGTCGTCGCGAGTCGTGTATGTGTAGAAAGTAAGAGTAGACGATCCCGAGGGTTTTGGGGTTTTGCGTTTATTGTAGAGTATCATTTCGGGGCCGACGGGAAAACATTTCACGGAAGTCAAGGTCGTGATGGGTGGCGGCTACTGACTATGCGGCGAGGAGAGGATCAGCTGTGTGAGTGATAATGCCACACCGCCCGCCAGCCCGCCGATATATACGACCGTTACCATTCTATTTGAAGTCGACTGGGCGACGAAAAAACTATAACGCACAGGTCAATGACGTTTACTCGTAAAGAGCGGTTTTTATTTATATTTTATAAATAACCCGGATATACTAAACATCTCTGTTGTTGTATTATTATTGTTATTATTATCATTATTATTGTCTGGATGATCGGCGTAACGTGTCTCTCAGTTGATTTGGCCCATTCCCAGAATAAGTCTTGAATCGGAGTGAAATATTTTATCGCAACCGTAAATAAAAACAACTATTATATGGATCTAGGTCATTCCCTCCCCCCAGGCAACGGTGCCGGTGTTGTTTACACATTTAATCGTAACAAAGATAATTACCTGTTGATGAGGCGGCGGTTGCTGCGATTGCTGCTGCTGCTGCTGTGACGGTGGCCCGGGAGGATACTGATGATGTAGTGGTGGTACTCGATGGTGCTGCTGGTATCCGGTGGGCGAAGACGGCGGTGGTGGATAATGAGCCTGGTGACCAGGCGATGGTGGAGGGGTCGGTCCTCTGGGATTCGCCTGCAGAGCAAAAACAAAACTTTAAGATATATTGCAAAAAAGATCGACGAATCGGGAGAAAAAAAGCGACCTTGAAGGTATCCGGGGTCAACAGCCGACAATAAACACAAAGAGAGAGAGAGGGTATGACCGACACGGGGTGAGATGTGAGAGGGATGCGGAAAAAGTAAATAGGGGCAAAAAGGATTTGTGTACAGGTAGGCACACACAGCAGACTACTATATATTGTATGTATTATATATATATATATTACCACGATTACTATTACTATGCACAATAAACGTAGCGATGGCGATGCCGAAGAGGAGGGTAACGTTAAAAAGTTTTGCACAATGCTTGTTTGTGTGGTTGGCGCGAAACCTGTTATAGACAGGGTAGTGGTGGAGACGGAGACGACGTTTGGAATCGTGAAAGAATGTGTACAGGGTGGATGGGAGAACCGGAGGCCGGATGAGAGGGGGGGTCGTCGGGCGACGCAATAGTGGCGGGTAACACATCGATCGTGGTGGTTGGGAATAGTTAAGGGTTGTAAAATTACGAAGCCGCAAAACTGTGGATTCTGTCCGTGATAATGACGTTCCTTCATTCATGAATCACGAGCACGTCGTGGCGCTAGACGATGCGGAAAAGGTGACCCTAATGGGTCCAATGTGAAATAATTAATGACCCATTATCGTGACTGTATGAGCATTTGTCCGCGTGTGTGCAAGTATACGCACGCGCATACCTAACGCAATTATGGACGCAGACCACGTGGTGTATACGACGACCATAAATCCAAAAACAGCCACGTAGAACAATAAAAATAAGAACAGATTTCATCAAGATACTATCTTTAGTTCACTGGGTACTTGGTTGACTCGATGTCACTATTACGGTGTCTAACAAGATTTTAACAACTAACTTGAAAATAATTACAGAAATTGTATGTTAACTTACAACTAAATTAATACATAGAACGTCAATACTTATTTATTATTTTATTTTAATTACACACAGGACAAAACAAGAAAACATAGTAAGGAATCATACATCTACACCCTAAATTTTAGATCATATTTTATAAAACACATTTGTTAGTTTTTTCAATTCATACTTAAGCAATATTTTGAAAAGTATTTTACTTTTCATCAAATTTCAGAAGCATTCTTACTGGCTTACAAATTATTTGAAGAAAATATAAATTTAGAATTTGATTATGTTCTTCAGTATATAACTGCGTATCAAATAAATAATAATACATTGTATCTTTGTTTGTTAACAACAATTATTTATTAATTGACTATTAGTACCGGTTCCAACAATTGTAATTGAAAAGTATTTTACTCACTCCAGCCACATTATTATTATACTTTTTAGGTTTTATTTGCACCAATATATTGCCGGCTTTTTATAATATAAACTCCGTTAAAAGAAAAACAATCTGAAAGTAATAAGTGTTAAAAGTTAAGTTTCAAATAGATATAATTAGTAAACCATATCAGATCCTATAGTATCAAGCACAAAAAAACGTAAACGTAAAAAACTCAATAATCTACATTGTTGGACAATTCAATTGCCAACAACTGAGATGTTATAAATTAGGAACGATAATATGTAATAACAATGTAGTAAAACAAACAATCGACATAATAGTATTTATCTACTAGGTAAACAGAATTCGAATGCACATTGTACAACACATCGAAAGAGAATAGGTTTCGCGCCTTGTTTGTGAACCTTAAACCGACACTCACACATAAAAGTACTAAAATATGATAGTCTTCGGTCTTATAACATGTACACTCAGGTAATAGACAATTAATTGCATTACGATAACAGACTATACACTATTAACACGGGCGTGGTGAACAAAATCGAATACAAACACGCGTTATCGTATTGTTTTTCCCAGGACCACATAGCCCACGTGTACACAACTAACATAATTCCAACGTCAGCGTCGTAGATTTTTAAACAACACGCGATGATTTTCCCGTACAATACATTAATTATGTAATAAGCGTGCGTACAGAGTAGTGGAGATGTCAAATTTTCAGAGAACATTTTTTAAGTCTACATAAATAGGTAATAGATTTAATATGTAAAGGCTACTCTAATAGGTAACAGTGTCACCGTATTCTGTATAATCATGTGGTCAGTGTTCAGATTCTTACTATTATGCATCAAATTAAAAACTACTGTGTACTTAACTATACAGTGAAGAATATTTTCAACTATTTGGTGTATTATGGTAACGGGTTTACAAGGAATACTGCGATAGTGTAGTAGTGGGCAGAAGGTAGATTTAATACGTTAAACAATAATGTAGTTACGTATATTATATAATATTATACCAGTTTTAAATTATAATATTTTTTACTAATTATTGATTCCATGGTCACTAGACAGTGTTTTGTGTATAATATGACTACTATATAAGTATACTATTATACTTGTAATATAGGACAACTTATACAGTTATAGATTATACCATATAGTTATAGTTATAGTATTACAATATTGTAAATTTGTAAAACAATTACATTTTTTTTAAAAATTAGTTGTTGATTAAAAAAAATTGTTACCACCTGCCGGGTTAGTTGTTAGACCGAAGTTAATTGTAATGGATTTAAATAGTACTATCCTTGTACAATTAATCCGTCAAGAAACGCACGCACACCACAGACACGTTATGTACGAGACGGGAAAAAAGTAGGCGTCGGAGCGACCACGACATTACGCGTGAAGTGACGAAGACGACGAGATTTTATGGACGAGGCACTACGCATGGATACGGACGTACGACGACAACGATTTGTCGTCGTATAATGCCAATACATCACGCACAGACGCACACTGTGCAATTCTCGGCCACGGATAGTTTTACAAGCAACAAACGAACGATCGCGATACATACCGATCGCATACAGACGTATATTATGCTGTATTATTATATATAATAATATGTGATATACGTAAACACAAACGATTTACGATGTCGTCGACGGTGCGGGGGGAGGGGGGCGTGAGGCGCCGCCCGTCCTTTTGCATCCGTTTTTACGACGGACGCGCGACGCGGCGTTCTACTCTCCAACAGTTGTACACACACACTCACACAAGTTTACACGCACCGCGTAGTATCATTAATACTATTATTATAATATACGTGTATCAATTATGTCTAAAAATAAAATAAAACGTGGGCCCAAAATATTCCGTGTGACGTGTGTTTTTATCTGAATGTATTTACACTCGCCAGCGCGATCGCGTACGCGCCGCGCGTGTGTGTGTGTGTATGTGTGTGTGTGTGTGTGTGTGTGTGTGTGTGCGCGGTGTTGTTGGGTAAGGGCATGGGCGCGTACATAATGCGTGTGCGGTGTACAATAAACAAACCCATTCTCTCCTCACCGCACTCTCACGCACCGTCGTGTCGTACACACACGTGTGTATATATATATATAATATTATATATATATATATTTATATACATAAACTCATTCACTCGTTCTTTGCATGTATATACGTATATTATAATCTGGGTTAATAAACTAGGCTTGCGGTACACGCGGAGAATCAGAAATGATAGATGTGCATTTCCGCAATCGCTGTCACCGATAAAGGCCGCGGGGGACTACTACTACTACTACTACTACTACTACTACTTGCAAATTCTACAGTCAATGACCTATATAAATATACATACTATATGTACCAATAATGCATGTACTGTACTACTGTGACACCGGTCCTATGTAATAGTAGGTAATGACAATATTAAAACAAGGCACTGGTCACACGGCGGATTTAACATTGTTAATTGTAGATAAATAACGATTGGGTCGTCTACTCTTTAATCGACTATGTATGAACACATACTGTCGACCACTATAATTTTCAGTTACGATTGTTTATGTATATTAAGAAATATTTTTGAAAAATATATCGTTGTGAAGGTTTTTCCACTATACTTTGTTATTAAGAATTTAAGTTAATACACAAACAAAATAAGTAAATTCGGATGCTCTGTTATAATACGATTGACTACGATGGACAAATAGCCGACGGTTTGCTGAGACTCAAGACTATCCACACAGCGAATTCCTTATAACACCCGTTCCCATTGTACAATTTTTTTCATGCATAATCATATTATCACATCAGCAACTACATACATTTTGTATTTAAATAATAAACAGGGTTCACAACAACCTATTCACTGACAAAACAAATTCTAAACTCTTGGCTCTACAATTTAAAAAAATTCTGTAAGTCTATTTTCACAAGCTAACCGCACCTTCACCACAAACGACGACAGAAATTGTGCGGTTTCTACTAGTCATACTGCTGAGTAATATTTTGTAAAATCCATGAAGTCGTTTTAACGAGAAAGTGGCATTTGTTTTACAATTATTGTCATTATCAATAACGAGGAATACTATTATACTAACCTTGACTTAAATCCTTACGGCTTAGACTAATCGCCTTCACCGATGACATCACTATCGCGATGTTATAATGACGTAGATATCGCACTTAACATACTACCTATCTATCATATATATCTACATAGATAATATAAGTTGTAGATAACATGCCAATAACCTATCAATATTCAATGCTATTCAAGGTCTGTCGATACCGGCTCCCGATTGCTTATGACGACACGTCGATAATAATTATTAGGGTTACCGAGAACGGATCACTGATCCTCCATGAAAAATTAAACGTCACGATAATTAAATGACGTTTATAAGAAAATGATGTTAGATGTCATTAAAATAACTATGAGAAGTATACGATTGTATTTTCTATACATAGCAATGTTGGCCATTTATGAAATATACCTATCATCATCATCATCATCATCAATGTATTCACTATTCATTATTATTATTTATTACAATTATAATCATCATCATCTTCACACCACACTCGAGTTCCCAAATATTACATCAAAATCTATACAACATTATTATTATTTATGCAACCAACTTTAATATTTGAATTATTCAATCTCA